ACCCCCCACCCCCCCCCGCCCCTCGACGGGGGCCCCGCCCCCACCATTTAAGAAGTACTGCTCTATGCCGGTCATGCTTATCTTAAAGCCGTATGTTTACTTACACACACATTTCAAAAGATTTATGCTCTTTCTTTTTGAGCGTCTTGCGCTCCTTCCCAAACATATTGTCATGCTTATTATACGTCTCAGTGTAAATTGTTGTTATTTTAAGTTGTTATCTAAACCTTTTACACTCTTACATATTTATGAGTAATTATGTTAGGTTTAATTTATTCATTCCATCCGCCAAACCCCCCATGCTATCGCAGTACAAGACGGTTATATACACACTGTTTTGGTGGAACGCCAGCCAGTGGAGCATGTTCACATATCTACGCTGGTGTGTAGTCTTTTAGCATTGTTCTAGCAAGTAACATGTTAGCGCCATGCTGGAGGGTAACATTTAGCCTTTCTTGCAGTTTTCACCAAGCTTAGGTTAGCTAAAACCCTAATGCAGGGGTCTCAAACTCAATTTACCTGGGGGGCCGCTGGAGGCAGAGTCTGGGTGAGGGTGGGCCGCATAAGGGATTCCACAATAAAATTAAAAAAAAAAAAGTCCTCAAATGTTAACAGTTAACAGTTTTAATGATTTCTTCTGAACATGAAGTGTTTTGAACATGAATGGAACATTGAGTGAAAATCATGAACGGTTCTTCTGAACATGGCTCCTCTTGCCTACTCCTTGCTGCCAGAGACTTGACAGCGCTTCTTTTCACGAACTTGGCTTTGAGGTCAGAGTTGCATTGCAGGTCAATGAGCTCCATTTGAAGCACAGGAGGGGCATCTTGCACATCAAAGGTAAAGGGGTCCGCAAAAATTTGAAAAGTGGCTCTGTGCGTCTTGAAGTCTTCAAATCTGTGATCAAATTCCTTCTGTAGCTTCAAAATATATCATCTCTGCGTCTCCCACTTTTCTTGAAATTGTCTGTGCTCATCACCAACCTTTCTCTTCACTGCAGGCTTTGATGAAGACGTGACTGGGGTAGGACAAAATCTCCTTGATTCCGCTTAGTAGCGCTCTTGTTTCACGTTTCAAACAAGTGTTTAGCCAGTTGGGGAATATCAGATCCGTCACACGCTTCTATCTGTAACAGCAGCGTACACGATAAACAGCCCGGTAACAGTCGCTGTTATTTTTGCGCTTGATCATGACATTTGTGGCAGAAAGTACGATAGATGGCAAGCGCAAAGGCAGCTTCTGTCTGGCTGTTCATTACACGCCGTGCTGTTGTTGCAAGCGTGAAGTGCACGAAGCTGGTGTAGCTTAGCCTAGCCCCGACAAGGGAGGGCCGCGCGGGAGCTTGCTGATTGGCTCTTCGGAGGTCCACTTTCTCCGCGGGCCACACTAATATTATACCTTCATATTAAGGTGCGGGCCACAAAATATTGTGCTGCGGGCCGCACTTGGCCCCCGGGCCGCGAGTCTGAGACCCCTGCCCTAATGTGCTAATTGTAGCTGGAAGTAAATTCTATGTAAGACCCCGGCTTTGTAATAGTGATAAAGCTTTGAATCACATTTTGTTGTTGTGTCTGGCTCTGTTTTTTTTTTTCTCAGCATCCAACCTTCAGCATCATGTGGTCCTTTCCGTGGACTAAAAACTATGTTCCAGGCGGGGAAAAATTGGATGGAAGATCTGGAAAAAACCAATCCCAACTTGTCTGTTTTGGCCAGGACCCACACATACCTGGTGGAAAACCCTTTTTTCCTGTTTGTGGGAGCGGGAATCTTTCTGTAAGTGCATCGAATCACACTCCAGCAAAACTAACCTCACACATGAAGCAGCTACGGTTGGTTTATGTCAGTGGTTCTCAATTATTTTCTGTCACCCCCGCCCCCCTCCCCCTAGACCACCCCCGCAAATTGAAATACAATTAAGAACCTGAAAAAAATATATATTTGTATCTATACAAACCACTGTATGAGTTGCTGCCACCTAGTGACTGGAGGCCTGTTATCATTCAACTTTTAAACAACGTTTAATTTCTTTCCAATTTTTTTTTTTTTTTGTCCATTAGGATCGTGATTTACTTCCACAGTCAGGTGGTTGATGGTCAAAGGAAGATCATCGGTTTACTCCAAGAGCAGATAGAAAATGTAAGAACTGTTATAGCACAAGAGGGAATGTGAATCACTTGGAAGTATGACTCATTACTCACAACACTAAAAAAATGTCTGCTCCTTGTCTGCTCTGCTCAGGAGGGAGAAGATAAAAAGTTTCTCATCACTCGACTCCAGTCAATCCATGAGAAGAAAAGACCACCCATTCAGGTCAGCTTGGAGTAATTTACTGTAGGATACATCTGTCAACCCATCTCTATGTACGTATGTACAGTATGTATTTACATATATACTTTTTTTATTTTTCAGGAATATTCATGTTGATAAAGAGCCTTTGATTCTATGAATTGTTGTTTGTTATTAGTGTGTTTTGTATTTTTAAATGTCATTGTATTGTTTTTTTTATTAGTATTTTTATACAAATAATAAAATGCTAGCGCTGTCTAAAGTTTACAGGGCAGCTCTGGGATAATCACAATTACTCCTAATTGAATAATACTCCTGAATAATCAAGATAAATCAATGTTTGTAAGTTTGATCCAAAAAAAAAAAGTTTTCCTTTATTTCGCTGGCAAATAAATACAAATAAAAGCAGGTAGATGTACGTGTTTCACACCTGTTTTTCTGGTGATTAATCCATTTAAATTGAATTATTAAAATGGGAAATGTCAGCAGAACAAATTTGTCTTCTTTGCATTACTTTCGAGAAAAACAAATGCAAGATAGAGAGATAGAGAACAGAGCCCCCTGCTGTCTGAGAGGGGCACCTACAGAGTCACTCGGTGCTGGCTGCTACGGTTGTTAGTTGCTTCAGTAGTTAAGGTCATGTAAGCTGTGCTTATTTCTATCAATTTATTATTACAATAAAAGTATAGAACCACTAACGGAGATGTTTATGGTTGCTAGACTTATATCTTCTTCCATATCTGGCGGTTATGTTGACACACACATATACATATACTGTGGGGCCTAGATAGGAGCTCCCCCCGAAATTTCCAAGTTACAATAAGCAACTTTTGCAAACATCGAGTTACGAGTGCGCAACCATTTTTTTTTTCCTCAACAGCTGTCTTGCTCACTGTCCCTCGCTCGATCATTTTACCCATTTTTTATAACAAATAAAATGCTTTCTTAATTCTTATTTTTTTATATGATCAATATATTTGTTCATATCTATGTTTTGGATGTTTAGATGGGGGGTTAATTTAATTAATTATTAGTATATTTCCGGGGGGGTGGGGGTGGGGGGGGTTATTGGGGAAAATGCAATTGAGATGCGAGACGATCGACACACGAGTGCTGTTGCGGAACGGATTCGACTCGTCTCATATCTAGGTGCCCCCACTGTGCTCTACAATTCAAAGTGTACTAAGCCAATAAAGGATTAAAAACGGAAACATACGGAGTCCTGTGCATTCTGACTGATGCCCCTCATTGGCCACAAGCTACAATTACCAGCAAACTATACAACCAACACCAGGGTGGAGCTGGGCTGGTGTGTCTGAAGACTGCAGGGTCACCATTATCCCAGACATCCTGGTCAGCAAACTGTCTGACCTGAGACTTCACCCACTCACCTGTGCACTGGGTCAAGGACTTTGTTGTTTATTTAAGTGACCATTACAGCAGAGTAATGTTTGTATGTATGTATGTATGTGCTGTATCTGTGATACACCTGTGGAGAAGCCTTCCCCAATTTCAATGTTTTAACCGAATATAATGACAATAAAGACTATTCTATTCTGACCCCTTTCAACCATAACACCCTTGGTCAGTAGGGGCGCTGTCTTTTTTGTTGTTTTGGTACACCATATTGAGTTTATTTTGAGATGTTTTATTGCTCAATAATACGATGAGTTATACCATGGCTGTTCATATGGACATTATCCAAAATACATTATTTTCGTTAAGTTATCGGATGAATTATTTGTGCATTTAGATCAATATTAAATTTGATTGATATCGAAATTAAATCAAACTGTGAGATTCCTAACGATGGCCAGCCCTACATTTTATACCTACCAGTACTTTAATAATTCAATAAAAGTTTTCTGGTTATTAGTAGAGGCAGTTTGTCATGAAGTTTACATCTTGTTATAATCAATGTTATTTAACGTTCCTTATTTTATTGCTAAAAGATGACATGTCCGAAGTCAAAATTTCAAAATGTGTTTTAAGATGCAGTTAAATAAAAATGATAAGCAGCAACATGTGAGTGTTTATGTTACAAAATTGTTTTTTGCAAAATTGGAAAAAAAAAAATGTATTACGTCAATTTTATTGTTTTTGCAAAATTGGAAAAAAAATGTATTACGTCAATTTTATTAAGTCGACGTTTGTAACCTATTCACGATGGCAAATAAGCTACTCTACTAACGAAGAAGAAGAAACACAGTTTGCTCAGTTTATGGAAAATGCTCAGATGATGTCACGTGATATAGCACACGTGGTTGATAAACAAAATTTCATAGTTAAAGAAGAGAAGAAGGCTGTTAAAGGAGGAAAATTGGGACGGAAATATGAAATCAGTTAATGGTAGCAGATAATTATTTATATATGTGTGTGTGTGTATCGATAATCTTGAAAGACATTTTACTTTGCTGATGTTACCGGTGTGAGGTGAGTAAGGTTTTTTTCAACCCGACGCCTTGGCATCAAAACACAATGGCAACCAGTTGTAGGGTCGTGACGGTCCTCGTCCCGAATGGAAGACGACAAGAAGTTAAAGTGTTTCCAAGTACATCCCTTTTACAGGTAAACGTTGTTTACATAAAGACATTATTGACCCGTTCGTATTTTTTGCTGTCGTTTTGTCTTTAGCCGTAAACGCATGTTGCTAATAGCAGTTAGCTAGTGACAGGCCTGTTTCAAATTACACTTAACAGTTGTGTAGTGTAGCATGAAATTTAATTTAATTTAGTGCATGATATATATTTATGTTCTTTAGGTACTTGAGGACGTCTGCCGAAAACACGGATTTAATCCAGACGACCATGGTTTAAAGTGAGTAAATATCGGTGCTAGTTCATGTTTCTGTCCTCTGGGCGTTTGTAAACAAAACTGATGAGTAATGGATACTTCGGTACAGAGTTGAGCATTAAGTCAAAGAAGGGATTCACATTTCAAATGAACGTTTTACCACGAACACCAGGTATGGAATTTTCCAAAATGGACATTAAATAACTTCATAATTTAAATGTTATATCTAAATTCTAAAAGTAATTTCCAAGACTAGTTTTAAGACAATTGATTCTAAACGTTGTGTCTGGACCTTTAGCAAATACGAAATTATAACTATAGTTAATAAACAATCTCATTCAGTTCTAGGAACGCTATTTCAAGTACAGTACTTGAATTATTGTGACATATTATAGTACAGTGTTTAATTTGGTATTGAAATAGTGTTATAATCATTATCGGCAATCATTTATGGGACAATAGATCGTCCAGAAAAATGTGTTATTGTCACAGGTCTGTTTAACTTAACCTTGTACTTGTGTCTTCTTTAACTTCTTTAACGTTAATAAACCAAACCATGGGCTTCCGCAAATAGGTATGCTTACAGGTGTGTATTTTAATACTTGCCCAACCCCTAAAAGTAATTTCAAATAAATACCAGGGTAAGCTTTTATTTTGGTATTTGAGGTTATCTTAGTGTTTTGTTTTTTTTTTTTTTAAATGTCTTTAATGCCCAATTTCAACATAATAGACAAATATTTAGAGTTAACTTTCAGGTACAGATTTAATTGAAAAATAACTTAATTACGTTGGTACCCATAATTGAAATGTGATTTACTTTTCGTGTCAATTTATATTTAACTTAAAATGTGTTTCAACATTTAACAGTGATAAGTACACAACCCAGATTTAATTGAAAAATAATTGAATTACGTTGGTACCCATAATTGAAATGGAAATATAAATGTGTGGCCCTGTCTTCCTATGTGTCCTTGTCAGGTTTCAGGGAACTTTCATTGACCTTACTCTACCTTTGAGATATTCCAACCTGCCCAACAATGCTAAACTGGAAATGGTGACAAGCACATGGAAACAGTCTCCAGCTGATAGCCAGGTGAGGTTAAGTACTACACACAATGTAAATTTTATAGTCGTTTAATCTTTTAGATCAGTGTTTTTCAACTATTTTTTTTGCCACCCCCCCAATTGTATTACTAGATGAATAGATTAATAATAAAGCAGGCAATAAAGCTTGCTCTGCTGCCATCTAGTGACTGAAGGCTTGTTCATCGTTCAAGCATGAATATGCCATGACACCTCACCCACCTGTTTTAATGAATGTTAAGGACACCCCCCCCACACACACACACACCTCCATTAAGAAGCACTGCTTTATACAGACGGTTTTCAAATTTACCATTGTCAAAGTGTCAAATATCAACTGTCTCCTCCATCTTCTTGCGTGTATCAGACAGACATATTCTTATTGCCATTATAAATATAAATATTAAGTTCTCAGGTGGAAACATGCATTTCCATTAGTCCATGAAAATCCAAACTCTTAATAATCATCCTCCTTAATAGTCATAGTCCCTCTCCTTCCCTTTCTTGCAGTAGCAGAGTTTTTTTTTTACTTACTTGAGTAACAAATTCTTGTATTTGTTAGAGACATGGCACAATTGATAATGCCCATATCCCCAAGTATAAACTTTTTTTTTTTTTTTATATTTATGCCAGGTACGAATTGCTGTTCAGATGGAGGACGGCTCTCGCTTGCAGGATTCCTTTTCTTGCCAACAGAATCTCTGGGAATTGCTCACACATTTCTCTCAGATCAGGTTTGTGAATTTTTGTTATACGGTCACTGCATGCGTTCGATCCTAGTCTTAATTCTATAACATGCTGTTAGGGCAAAACAGAGATGATTTCTCTTTACGAGATATACTTCTACTGCTCTATTTTTGTTGTAGTAAAAGTTTAAAGCACTTCAAATTACTAGAATGATCTTAAAGTCTTACTCTCACGTCTTCATTCCAGTTTGTCAGATTTGACTGAGTCAGGATCTACTCCCGTGTGTGTCTACATGAGAGATGAGGTTTGCGTGACTATTTTTTTTTTTTTTTTTTTTTTTTTCCCACAGCATGTAAGCCTATGTGTGTGTGTATTTACGTGTGTGTATATGCATATTATCCGTGTGTAGGTGAGTGGGCAAGAAGCGCTAAAGAAGACTACTTTAAAGGCACTGGGTCTTACGAGTGGAAGTGCAATAGTAAGGTTGGTTTTCAAAGAACATTGTGTATCAAAAGTTTAACATTTCTGTACTACTTAGTTGTAGCTGTACTGTAGCACAGCGTTCCCTCCCTATATCACGGTTCTACTTATGCTCCCTCAGTAGATCACGGATTTTTTTTTTTTTTTAATCTTATCTCAGAAATTTACGCTATAGTGCCAAATATAGCAAAATAAAACGAAAAGACTTTAAAAATAACCATACGTACGTATAAGTATGTAAATAGTTTTGTCTTTAAAAATGTGGATTCTCGTATTGAAATTGAAATAAGCATTTAAATTATGCATACCATTGGCTAATTGAGCGTTCTCTTCTGTTCCTCGTGCTGATTGGTTCATGCATGCCCCCCTTCTCTGTTGGCCATTTTCTTGTTCATTTCGCTCCGTGTTGCCATTATATAACTCTACTGTGCATATAATGGTGTGGAAATGGGATATACAGTCTAGGGAGGGTTGATAACAGTGTGGGGGGAGGTTCGTAAAGGTTAAATATATATGTAAATAATATAATAACTTTCTTGCCTCTACTTTGCGATTTTTTTTTTTTTTTTTTCTCATTTCACGGTGGGTCTTGGAGCGCAACTAGGAGAGGGATCACTGTATATTAATATAGAGATTCCCAAAGTGGGAGGTGCAATACCATGTAAGGGGGAATGTTGTCCAAATTTCTTAAGAACCAGGGGGAGAAAGTTTAGGAGCCACTGTAATAATGTAATGCACAGATTTAAATGAAATCTTTGAATTAAAAAAAATTGACTTTTGGTTAGGAAAATCTTTCAGTAATCCTGAACAGAAAGCAGCATTAATCGACTGTCCAAAGGGCAACTATATGTATACTTGTATACATGATTAGTTTATTAATTTTATCAAATGATAACAATTTTTGTAAAAAAAAAAAAAAAGTTCTTTCTTCTTTGGACATTTTTTTTATACCATTTGAACTTTCCAATACTTTGAATCACACTTTTATGCTACAGTGTTTTGTATTGTTTTATTCTGGTTAAGATTCTGATTTAAAAAAAAAAAAAAATCTGTTTTAGGTTTCTGCTAAAGAAAAACAAATCTCCTGGGGAGAAGACAGAAGCAACTGTGACAGTTTCTAAACCGAGCAACGTTTTTGCAAAGGAAAGCGCGCATAACTCGTCATCTAAGCCGGATACTTCCCCATCACAGCCAGAAACGTCGTCATTAAACGTCCCGGGAACTGATTCAGAAGAAACCCTTTCTCTGTCAACTCCCACCTCCGCCACGGGCACCCCTCTTCCCGTTCAACAGAGAGACGTTTTAAACCCTCAGAAGATCTGTAGTCATGGAGAAGAAGATGGCGAGGCAGCCGGACCATCAGGACTAAGCCCTCATTCCTCATCGTCTTCACCCAAAGCCCAATTCAATCCCTCTACTGATGATGGTCGGTGCCCCAACAGTTCAAGTCAAGGATGCCTCTCTTCTTTTTCATCTCCTTCCTTGACCACACTTAGTTCAGCATTTGAATCTCCCAAAGCCAAGAAAGCTAAATCCAGCCAGAGTTCTTCTCTTCAGGTAAGCACTATTACAGCCTGTAAACTAATTCAACAGATAAGATGGATTAGATAGATCAAATAATGAGTGTTGATCAGCTTAACAGGTTTCAAAAACTATATGTTTTTTAGGAGGAATCAATCGAGAAATAGAAGACAAAAAAAAAAAAAAGTTCTCATTTGTTCTTGGTGTTGTCCTTAATAATTAGAAATCCTTTGTAAAGCACAATTTAACTAATCACACTTTTTTTTTATCAAGTCGTGCGTGTTACTGAAAACAGATGATGTTATCTGCTGAAAGACGGCAGAAGAAGTACTAATGGTAAATGTAGCGTAGCTTGTATGCGACAATGTGAAGTAGTAGACGGTGCAGAAAAGTGGTAAAGAAACAGTTAAAGCAGCGGTGCCCCCCCTTGTGGACAGAAATGTTTTTGTCCCCCCCAATTATTAGAATATTACTGTTTTAAAGACAGGCCGGGCTGTGGACACTAAGATGGAGGTCTTGGAACCCCTGTGAATATTTAAATTAATATTAAATATTAAATATTTGCAGATCGAAAGAACGACCAAAGTTTATTTGTTGGAAGTTAAATGTCAGTAAAATAGACTTGAAAATGAGACAATTGTGGCTTTCGTTACGGAATATGTGTGCATAATTATTGTATGGTGGTATTGTGTTAGGGTAACTAGCTAACAAAGCGCCTAAGGTTGAGGGCATCATAAACAGGGAACACTTTGTAGGCACGTGCAGAGACCAGTTTTTAAAAAATCAATTATTCATCATTCATGAATAATTGATTTGAGCACTTTCTCCATTTTAGGTACAATGTATATTTGTTGAATTCAAACTGGGGGGGGGGCATCTATAAATTAGTCAGATACATTTGACCGTTTTTAAGCCTTTCTTATTGATTTTCAAATAAAAGTTGTTTTGATCCATTGAACATAATTTACCATTTGTTTTTGTTCTGGTGCTTTAAATGTATTTTTAAATTGTTTAAAGGGAGCGTCGGGTGAACGTAGATATGACATGTGAATATTTGCTCTGTAGTGGCACACTTACTAATTGCAGCCACCGACATGGATAAACAATGTGAAATACAATACAATAGTAACTGTTCTTTTTCTCTTTAATTTAAGTTAGATTAGAAATACCATTCCTTCAACAACATATTGTGACTGCCAACAGTGTCATCAGTCATTACTAATTGTGTTATTCTCTTCAGCCGGTACAAAGGGATCCTCTCATCTACCACTTGGATTCAGTGCCCCATCGATCTAAAGACCAATGGGATCCTCCAGAGGAGTTTTTTGAAGTAACAGTTGACGATGTGCGGAAACGCTTTGCCCAGTTGAAGAGTGAGAGGTAAGTAGAAAATATATACGTTTTTGAGGGTACTATGTGTGGTAATGACAAAAGAGTTGTTCTTTGTTACGGAAACCAAACTGAAGGGTTGGGCTTGAGAGGCTACCAAGGGAATATAAAACGTAAAAGTAATGCGTTAAGGCTAAAATACTTAAAATGCTTTTAGATGGGGTTTTTTTAATGCCATCTTTTGGAGAAATGTGGGCATTGCAGGGAAAAGGCAGAAAAACGGTGGAACCTCAAAGATACAAGTCTCGACATGCAAGTATTTTGAGATACGAGCAAGCCTTCGAGTGAATTTTTTTGCTTCGAGATATGAGTAAAGATTTGAGATTGTGATTCTGATTGTGACGTATGCGGATTTACCGGAAGCAGTGGAATTATGGGAGTTTAGAGTACTTAAAAGGACTGTGGTAGTACCTACACATCATTGGATTATTTTCTTTTCTGTTAGTTCTTAAAGGGAAAAAATGATTAGAGATACGAGCACCTCGAGTTTCGAGCTCGGTCCTGGAACGAATATCTCGAGGTTCCATTGTATAATAATAATATAAATTAATAATATCAGTTGGACAAGTTTGGCGGGCCGGATTAAAAGGCCAAACGGGCAGCATCTGGCCCTCGGGCCGAAGTTTCCCCGTGCGTGCTCTAGTCACTACGTGGCAGCAACTCATACAGTGGTTTCTACAGATAAGAAAATGCAGATTATTAGGTTCTCAATAGTGTTTCAATCCAGTGGAGGTGTGGAAAAAATGTCTGTCCCCAAAGGGACAGACATAATTAAGGACCACTGCATTAACGCATTTAAAATGAATACCCCGAGTGCTTTTTTGAAGGACAATTAAAGTATATGGTTGGTATGGTATTTATTTTTAGCCCTTTTAGTCCCTCTTGTTTTGTTTTTCCTTTTAGGAAAAAGTTGGAGGAAGCTCCACTGATGACGAAATCCTTACGAGAATCCCAGAAAAAGAAGAAATTGGATAAGTATCCTAAAGTGAGGAGCAGAAATACAATACCTCAATCCTGTTGTTGTCTCTACGTTTTTTTTTAAACACACACTGAATAGAGGCATCTTCTCTTCTGCGGATCCAGGTAGTCCTAAGGGTCCAGTTTCCAGACAGATATGTTTTACAAGGCTACTTCGGGCCCTTGGAGACAGGTTTGTATGTGTGTCTGTTTAGGGGGTATATATGTATATATATGTGTATATATATGTATGTATATATGTGTATATATACACTACCGTTCAAAAGTTCGGGGTCACTTAGAAATTTCCTTATTTTTGAAAGAAAAGCACTGTTTTTTTCAATGAAGATAACTTTAAACTAATCAGAAATACACTTTATACATTGCTAATGTGGTAAATGACTATTCTAGCTGCAAATGTCTG